TCACCTCCCAGAAATTGGAATGCATATCATAATCACTCTTGGCCAGGTGTCAGTCATGAGGGAGTTGTCATTGTCTGCATATGGGTATTAACATGTGCAGAATGGTTTGCAATGGCTTGCAAAAAACATTTCTGAGACAATGGCAAATTCTCCCACAGTTCATCACCAAGGTACTTAGTGGTATCAAGCTTGCAGACATTGACAACCCAGGTGAAACATTATTCAAAAGTGCAGGTGCTTTGGGAATGTCCCAACAAACGAATTTCACTTTTATTTCTTTTTCTACAAAGATGTGTCTAAATAAGTTTTAACTAAATTTTAGTAGGTAAAACGTCAAGGTTTTAGGAATATCTCAACACATTTATTTCACTTATATTTCATCTTTCTAATAACGGTATGTTTAAATGTGTTTAAAATAAATGTTTTACCAGGCAAAAAGTCAAAATTCTGAGTGATAAGAAAGCAGTGAGCCTATGTAATTGGCAGTCTTTTTCTTTAAGTGTCTTAATCCTACATAACGTAATGGTTTCCCTTTAATCAGTGAGGTCTTGGATACAATGAAATATGATAATTGTCAGGTAGTATAGCACTGTGTTTATGAACTCTGGTTTTGATGGTGGATAAGCTAGGCACAACTTTTGAGCTTGACAACGTATTCTTCCAATTAATTTTCTCAAATTACTCATCTCAAATCCTCAGTTACTCATCTAGAAAATGCAGGTGCCTGTTTCATAATAGTGATGACAATGAGACAATGCATGTTGGACACTTAGCAGAAGAGCCACAAACTCTTAACATATGAGTGGCTCTTGAATGTACATTGGCTTTGGCCAGATACTCAAAAACATTTCTATTTTCTATCTTCCTTGTGAACAGGAGGCTCTCAGAGAACTGTGGTCGGTTTTCTTATTATTTCTGCAAAACCATTTTAGTGGACAGGAAGGAGAAAAATCCTCTAATAAAAAAACCTATCACCAAGTTGGGCATACATAAGCAGTACAACCCTATCTCTTCACTCTGAAAGATATATTTATAGTTGCAGAGGGCAGCTGAGGTCACCTGGAAGTGGGTGGAAGAAGAGTCAGCTCATCATGGAGTGAACATTAACCAATTAGAAGCAGGGACCAGGAAGGACTCAGACAGACAATTTGCCCCTCTCTTCTCCTTGCAGTCCTTCTAGAAAAGTCCAGAGTGCCAAGCAAATACACTGACTCCGGCGTCCTGCTGTGCTGCGTCGTGGCTCATCATGAACTGGTGACCAATCCAAGGACTCATCTTTGTCAATGGTTTGCATCATTTCCTTTCCCTCCCCTTCGCCACTGGGGGTTTGCACTTCCCAAATAAAATATCAACAATTCAATTCATATCCCTGCTTTCTAGACCCTTAGCACACTCCCATGACCCACATGCTGGTGAGGATATTGAGTTCATGTGGAGCCTTAGTAATTTTGGTCAGAAGCATGTTTCTAGAATTAAGGCAATGTGGTTTAGTCAAATTCAGATAAGATTGTGGAGCCACGTGTCCTAGATTCCAGCTTTGGCTCTAGACCCTATAAACCTGTCCTGTGGCCTTTAATCTCTCTCATCAGTCTAATGGAAATCATATTACCTGCCTTCCCTACCTGGAAATGTCATCATCAGGATCAAGAGAGATAAGGTTTGAGAAAGTAATGTGTAAGCCATTAAGTAGTACACAGATGATCATTACTGCTGTCAAACAGGAATTTGGTGTAATGAACTCTGTTGCCCTTTTTCTTTCAACACAAATGTTAAATGTTTATAAAATTATTAAAACTTGTACTGCATCGTATTAGTTTCTTAGGGCTTCTGTTACAAACTACAACACACTGGGTGGCTCGAAACAACAGGAATTTTTTAATCTGATGGTTCGGTTGGCTACAAGTCCAAAATCAAGGATACTTTCTCTAAAGACTAGAGTCTCCCCTTTTTCAGCTTTTAGTAACCCCAGGTGTTCCTTGGGTGTGGCAGTGTAACTTCAGTTCCACCTCCGTTTTCACATGATCATCTCCTTGGGCATGTCTGTGTCACCAAGTCTCAATCTAAGGACACTTCTCCTTGGATTTAGGGCCCACCCTAATCCAGTATGACCTAATCGTAACTCGATTATAGCTGCAAAGGCCACATTTCTAAATAAGGTCACATTCACAGGTACCTGGGGTTAGGTCTTCAACATATGGATCTATGAAGGTAACATCATGAAGAGAAGTTTAATTCTTTTTAACAAGCAAAATAATCTCGCTCTTAGAAATTTCTCATCATCATGCTAAAACTGCCACGTTTTTAGTTCAAAATCCCCTGAGCCAAATATATCAAAACTTAGCTCTATAACAGTGATTTAAATCTGTGCCGTCCTTTTAAAGAAGACTTTTCAACACTCCAATAACCAAATCATCTCAAGTAAAAGGTAAAGAGGAAAAAATAGTGAAAGAAATTCACATTTTCTTTTACATTTACAGCCTGTTTCATCATCCAAGATTATAATAATCATTTTACTTAATCATCACAAACAATCTATAAACACTGTTTTTGTTTGTTTTATAGATGAGCAACCTGAAGCTCAAATAGTAAAGGGTCATGCCTAAAGACTCAGCATAAATGGGAGAACTTTGGACTCTAATACTCGTGTTTTGAATGAAAACACCAAGAAGGCTCTTATTTTCAATTTAATTCTCGAGTAAACGCCGTGTGTAAAAACTCTCCCATCATTTTAGCAACTCAGCAACATCAAAGATATAATCTGATCAGTGGAGGATGATCCTCCAATCTCTTTACACTCTAGTGCCCAAGTTTTTTGGTTGAGGAATCTCTCACTGAGGAATTCTCCTATACACGGAATCTGAATGGTCCCAAGTGCAGGGTTATAGCTACCTTGCACCTCAGTCCTTGGTCATTCGTTTATTCATCCATGTAGTGAATATTGTTGGACATCTATGTGCTATGTATGGGGTTCCAATAATGACTAAAACAAGACCTTACAGAGCCTACAGTTTCACTGTGGCTAAAGCATTGGCCCTGCAGGTCAAACCAGCATTTCACTTTCAGTGCTAAAGATGGAAATGACTTTGGTCAAATCACCCTAAAATTGAAAAGCCAAGAAGGAAAAAACAGTGTTTATATACCTGATGTGAATCAGTTCAATCAATTCCTACAGGTCATAGACTTCTCCTTGTCTCAGAACCCAGTAAATATTACTGGAGAGAGAGAGAGAGAGAGAGAGAGAGAGAGAGAGAGAGAGAGAGAGAGAGAGAGAGAGGATGAATAAACCACCAAAAAATGAACAAAAGAGGGAATGAAAGGAATGTCCATCTATGCAAGCAACTCTTGGTTGCAATATTACCTTTTTTCATATCATACAGGATGTTTGAAAAAAAATATTGCTTCTAAATGCACAAGCACTGATCTGCTTTAATAATTCAGATCAGAGTACAGGTTCTAAGATCTTCCAGAATGTTGCATTAAAATCTAAGATACACAATGCAGGAAAAGGTACAGTCAGAGGGCACAAAAGTCAGCCAGCATGGGTGAGGTGGAAAGGGGTGAGGGGAGTTCCCCCTGCAAAATGCCAGGGAGAAGGTTCTGCTGATGTCAGAGAACAATGGAGACAGGGAAGAAGTAGGGAGAGTCAGAGGCACCTCAGATTAGTTTGTTTTTCCTTCCTATAGATTTCTATGTGTTTAAAATCTTTGAGACCTTTTTTCCCCTTTGTCTTCTGAAACTCATGAAAATGTTCAGTGTAATGCACTTGTCATCAAGGCAGGTAAAGCACATCTGCAGTCAGCCAAGAATAATGTAGCAATAGTCCAATTGTGTCTGGGTCTGCATTTGACTAGCTGTATGCAGTTCTCCAACCTGGACAAGGTCAGAATGAGTTCCTATCATCAGGCTTTATCAAGTAGCCATGCGTCTGGACAAAAGCAAATCATGCATGCTCACTGCATCATTGTTTGCAATTGTGAAGACTGGGAGTGCCCCAAATACTACCGGAAGGGGTATTGATACTTACACTGTGGTGAATTCAAGTAACGCAGCTCCGCGCAAAACGTTCAGGCAAAATAGCTAGATCCGTATGGAGTAACATGGCTAAATTGTACACATTTAGTGACACGTATACTGTGATATAATTATTTATGTGTGTATTTGTAAATTATATACATGTTCAAACATACTAATATATTTTATACCTTCTAACAAAATTTGAAGACAACAGCTCTCATATATAGTGTTAACTGAAAGGGACACAGTATGTAGCATTTCCTCTAGTAGAGGTATTGGCAAACTTTTTCTATGAAGGACTAAATAGTAAATATTTTCAGCTTTTGGGCCAGACAGTCTCCGTCACAACTGAAAATATTAAACTCTGCCCTGGTAATGTGAAAGTGGCTGTGGCAATATATAAAAAAATGCAAGTGACTGAGTTCCAATAAAACTTTATTTACAAAAAGGACTGCCTTTAGAATTTCACCTCTGAGTCATAATTTTTTGACCACCGCTCTGGTAAAATATCATTTGTATAAAAGCCAAAAAACACACACAACCTACGTGAAGTTTTCACAACTGTATAAATGTTTAACACTGAATTTGTATTGACAGAAAATGGCAACAGAGTTCATTGCACCAAATTCCTGTTTGACAGCAGTAATGGTCATCTGTGTACTACTTAATGGCTTACACATTACTTTCTCAAACCTTATCTCTCTTGATCCTGATGATGACATTTCCAGATAAGGAAGGCAGGTAATATGATTTCCATTAGACTGATGAGAGAGATTAAAGGCCACAGGATTGGTTTATAAGGTCTAGAGCCAAAGCTGGAATCTAGGACATGTTGCTCCACAATCTTATCTGAATTTGACTAAACCATATTGCCTTGATTCTAGAAACATACTTCCAACCAAAATTACCAAGGTTCCACATGAACTCAACATCCTCACCAGCATGTGGGTCATGGGAGTGTGCTAAGGGTCCAGAATGCAGGGATATGGATTGAATTGTTGATATTTTATTTGGGAAGTACAAGCCCCCAGTGATGAAGGAGAGGGAAAGGAAATGATGCAAAGTATCTAAGGAGATGGCTTCCTAGATTGACCACCGGTTCAAAATGAGCCATGATGCAGCACAGCAGGACCCCACAGTCAGTATATTTGCTTGGCACTCTGGACTTTTCCAGAAGAACTGTAAGGAGGGATCACATCATAGAGATGAGAAGGGAAAATTGTCTGTTTGGCTCTTTCCTGTCCTTTGCTTTCCATTGATTTCAATGTGATAAAACAACATAGAAATTTCGGTAATCTCCGTTAGTACTGCGGTTCAATCTGAGAAGACTATCACTGGGGCTTCTGTCATGATCCCGTGGGTGGTTTCTTCAATCACCTACAGGAGATAAAAGGGTGAGTGTTATAAGATGAAAATGTCACCCTGCTTTGTATGTGTGTGTATTTTTTAATGAAACCTGTAGAATTGAAAAATTCAGAAAGTTACAAAGGGTGATGTTATAACTATCTGTGTATGTAACGGATGATGTCAGAACTATTGAAGTATCTACCTTATTTGTGATAATATATATTTTAAAGTAATAAAACATGACAGGCAAAGATGAAGTCTCTGATGTTCTCCTCCCCATTTGTTCTTTTGAGGCAGTTGTTCCCATGATTCCGAATGTATGTAGTCCGTGTTTCATACTTTTCCTATTATGGGTTTATGTGTGTGTATAGATATCTACACACATATAGTAGGTGTATATATACAAGGGTATTTCAAAAATTTCAAAGAAACTGCATATTATAGTGAACTATGCATGCATGGATTTTGAAATTTTTTTAGCACCAAAAGAAATTCATGCTAACTTGTTATAAAATGTCTGAACAGGATCTACTATGAGGCACTAAGAAGGATAAGACATCAGTTTGAAAAGATCCCCCATCAAAGCAACAGAATTCTGCAAACATTGAAGCAAGAAGAAAATATTAAACTTATGGTGAAGCTGAAGTGGAAAAATGGAGAAATCACTTATCCTTTACAAAAAGTTTGTGAGGACAGTGCCCCCAAAGAAATCAGCGGTTTACAAATGGATAAGTCATTTTAAGAAGGGATGAGATGATGTCACAGATGAAGCCTACAGCAGCAGACCATCCACATCAATTTGCAAGGAAAAAATTAATCTTGTTCATGCCCTAATTGAAGAGGACTGATTATTAACAGCAGAAACCATAGCCAACATCACAGGCACCTCAACTGGTCCAACTTACACAATTCCAACTGAAAAATCAAAGTTGAGCAGTTTCCCTCAATGGGTAACAAAACAGTTGCACCCAGGTCAGCCAGAGACAGAAACAGAACCTTCAATGGAAATTTTAAACAAGTGGGATTAAGATCCTGAAGCATTTCTTTGAAGAATTGTAGCAGGAGACAAAACATGGCTTTATCAGTAGTATCCTGAAGACAAAGCACAATCACAGCAATGGCTACCAAGAGGTGGACATGGTCTAGTCAAAGCCAAAGCAGACAAGTCAAGAGCAAAGGTCATGGCAATCATTCTTTGGGATGCTTGAGGCGTTTTGCTTGTTGCTCTCTGGAGGGCCAAACAGCAGTAACATCTGCTTATTATGAGAGTGTGTTGGGAAAGTTGACCAAAACTTTAGCAGAAAGAAACCCAGGAAAGCTTCACCAGAGAGTCCTTCACCACATAATGAAATTCCGGCTCATTCCTCTCATCAGACAAGGGCAATTTTGCAAAAGTTTTCATGGGACATCTTTGGGCATCCACCTTACAGTACTGATTTGGCAACTTCTGACTTCTTTTGTTTCCTAATTTAAAAAAACCTGTGAAAGGCACCCATTTTTTTCTCACTTAATATTGTAAAGAAGACTGCACTGATGCGGTTAAATTCACAGGACCCTCAGTTCTTTAAGGATGGACTAAGTGGCCACTATCATTACTTACAAAACTGTCTTGATTTTGATGCAGCTTATCTTGAGAAATAAAGTTTATATTTTATATTTTAATCTTTTAATTCCATTTTTTCACAAACTTTTTGAAGTCCTTTTGTATAATAGTGTATAGAGTACATATACACATTATATAGTAGAGTGTGTATATATATATAGTATGTACATGTATTTATTTATGTGTATGTATGTATTTGTGTGTGTGCATATATAAAATACCTAAATAAGAGAAAAACTTAAATGCTTAACAACATGACACTATTCAAGTAAATTAAAGCTAACCCACACTGTTAAATATTACATAGAAATTTAAAAAATCATAGGCAGAACTATACATTCATGAAAAATATGTGAATTTTATTATTAAATAAACCAAAGTAAGTTGCTGACCAGTAAGTATTGTCTGATGCCATTTGTTTATCATGCTTCTTACATTCATAGAATGTATCTGGAAGGATTTAAAAGAAATTATTTATTAGTAGTTTGGGATTGGAAAGTAGACAAGTGGATAATTTTTTTCTTTTCATCTTTCACCCCTTAAAAAATAGCACATATTACTTTTCTAATCAGAAAGTACCAATAAAAAGAAAGGGCTACAGCATAAGTTCCCTCAGTAAAAGCAGCAAAAGAGACACTCCAGGTTTGAGGCAGGGGAAGGAGCCTTGTAGAATGACATCAAAGGGTAGTACAGTTCTGGGAATCAAGAGAAGTGAATTTGAGTCCTGCTTCTGCCGTGAAATATCAGGTGTCCCTGGGCAAAGTAAGCTCACCTGGCAAGGAGGTTTCTCCCCGATCTGTCACTTCCCTACCCTGATTTATCTCCCCACCACCCACGATGGCCTATGGACCCTTGCTCATTCTAGGTTGCTTTGTCTCTTTGGGCTTGGACTCAGGCCTGTACTTCTGCCTGGATGCCTTCTGTCAATTCATTTACCTGACTAACCACAGATATCATCCCCCCAGAGAAGCTGAGGACCACCCTCTCGCTTCCCAGCACACCTGCTGCATTCTGCTACTGTGCAGGGGCATTGTCTGTGCACCACCTGCCTCTCCCCTTATGCCACCCTCATCCCCGAACTCTCATCTCCTAGAAGGCAAGCATCTATGGCTGATTTACCTTTGTGCCTGGCCTACGGTACACTTTAGCAAAGGTACTTTTTGACTAAATATTTAAACCGTGTTCCAGTCACCTTCTCTATAAAATGAAGGTGAATCATTAGTTCAATTCAGCAGGTACGTACCAACACTTATACCCTCCCAGGCACCTTGTCCGGCTCTGGGAAGGATAGAAAGATGGGTGCAGCCCTCTGGTAAGGAGAATGAGCTAAGGCCCCTAAAATCCAGTTTCCTGATTCTCATAACCAAAATTTAAAAGCTATGCATTCAATTTTTGGCTTTGCCCTGACTTGTTGAATAATCCTGGGAATATCATTTTAGCTTCATGGGGAAGGTCCCAGTAGGAAACACATTGAATAAGGTAGCCTGACCTCACCAAGGCAAGGAGGACGAGAGTACTGCTTTTCCTGATATACAATGCACTGTTATAGGGTTTACTCTCTCTAATCATGCAATCTACATAATTTATCCTTTTAAAATGAGCCATAATCCCCAAAGAGTGCTTCCCTATTGATATCAAACATAAGAGGGTATTTTTAAGGCCATGGCAACATCACTGCTATACATTAACCTACACAAAATCAATCCATTTCCAAGTTAAGCACAGCCCTAAAAAATCACTAATGGAGCTCAGTGCAGTCTGTTCATGCGATGTGCAGTCAGAAATCATGCATAATGTAATAGTGCAAATGCTAAAAGCAGCTCCCACAAACTAATTTAATCTCGGTTTAATGGACGTAGAGAACTGATCCTCAAAAGAGACTGCCAATGAGATTCTTGGGGGCCTCCCAGCAGCCTGAGAGCAAGCTCCAATATTAGCTTTTGGTTAGTACCCTCTTTCAACTAGTGTCTATTAAAGGCAATCCAATATGGTCATTGAAATTATGAATAACTTGTGTCAACTTTCATGGCATATGTAATAGAGATGTCTTCCATGTGCTCGTGTAGATCTCTAAGATTGAAATCTTGCACTCCGTACCTTTTAGTTCATGTGCTTCTACCTTAGCCAAGAGAATCTTTTACACTTTGGAAGATCAGAAAGCTAAATGATGTCCACAGCCCTCAGGCCATGCCGGAGAGACAGTGTCTGAACAAAGACCGAGGATGTGAAACTTGCATACAATCAAAGGGGTTGGAATCACACTGCTGTAGCTTGTCTCCCAGGGACCTCCAAAGCTCCTATATATGCACCTTCCATGTCACATGATTAGAGTAGGAAGAGCATTTGCCCACACAAACATGAGCATGTGTGCACACGCACACACTCACACACACACACAAAGACTCTCTTCACCAGCCATGAGTCAGGTTTACATCAGATGGTCTAACATCAAATCTAGCTAACTGGACTGTAGAATATCCAAATTTAGGAACATTGGAATACACTTAGTTCAAGCCACATATTTCAAATTAATGTGCTGATTGCCTTTGGACTTTTACTGTCAACCTCTGAGAAAAGCATAGGAAAGGCAGCGTTGATGGGCAGACAGAATGCACAATGTACCGGTCAAAGTATGGCAGCAGAGGGTGGGATCTGGAAATGGGAAGATTCAGTGATGAAGGAAGCTTTAGGGGCTGATACCAAATTTTACGAGTCAAGGGAAAGTGGAGGAAATAAGAAACAGAAGTTAAACAATGTTATTTAGAGTTAGAGAGGCAACTAATAGAAAGTAATTGTATAAAATTCAAACAGGAGGAAGATATAACGGGGACAGGTCAGCACGAACGCACTGAATCCTCATCTTGCATATTAAGGAATTAATAGATACTGACTGAGTGATAAATCAAGCAATGGAGTTGTGAAAGTAGCCGCCAAAAGAACTAAAGACAAATGTTAAATAGATTTTGTCTCTATAGTGTAGAACTGGAGGTGATGAGGAGTTCTTTTTCTTTTTCTTTTTTCTTTTCTTTTTTTCTTTTTTTGAAATGGAGTCTCTGTGGCCCAGGCTGGAGTGCAGTGGCTCGATCTCAGCTCACTGTAAGCTCCGCCTCCCGGGTTCACGCCATTCTCCTGCCTCAGCCTCCCCAGTAGCTGGGACTACAGGCGCCGCCACCACGCCCGGCTAATTTTTTGTATTTTTAGTAGAGACGGGGTTTCACCGTGTTAGTCAGGATGGTCTCCATCTCCTGACCCCGTGATCCGCCCGCCTTGGCCTCCCAAAGTGCTGGGATTACAGGCGTGAGCCACGGCGCCCGGCCGATGAGGAGTTCTTTTCTTACGTGTCTATGTTATTTAATTTGTTATAATGCATCAACTATAATTTGATTTTTAGAATTTAAGTGAGTGCTCCTGGGAAGCTGAGGTGAGA